ATATAATTATATTAAGTGAGTAACGTGTAATAGTTTTAACTATACTATAAATTTTGTTTGTATTTATATGATTGTGTATACTTGGCTCAAGTTTATCGCTTAATATTGTGTGCCAGAAATTGGAAACGTTTTCTGCGATAAGGGCGTATAATGAGTTTAGGTATTTCGACGTCAAATATATTTTCCGACTTGATGCTAGCCGATTCATCGATCAATTTATTAATGGGCTAACACTTCTCTCGCGCACTCGATCATGAATACCTAATGCTCTCGTTGGTCACAGACAAGAATGAACGAGTTTAATAATTACCGTGATTATGTAATATGAAAGATTTCCCTCCGGTCTAAGATGTTCTATTAAGTCGAAAAAGCCGATTTACGTAATTAATTATACTTGATATAATTTCTGGAGATGTGACACGCGAAATTTCCTTTTGGAGTCGTTTTCAGAATTTTCAATATTCGCATACATAGTAAGATCAGCTACTTAGTGATATAAATTGTTTAAATTATAGAAAAATATTAAGATAAAGTAAAATTGATCTGGTAGATTTGATATTTTGGAAAGTATTTTTTTTTTTTTTTTACGAAGAAGAAAATCAGAATTAATTATGCTATATCGCGTATAGGCTTTTAACGAATTAACGTTTCTTTCCTTTTTTTTTACAGAAAAATTCGTTCGCATGGTCCGAGGGTGGCGAAGAAGGCGGCGGAGGCGGCGGTGGAGGTGGTGGAGGAACGGGTGGGACCGGAACAGGTGGTACGGGCCCAGCGACCACCGGTGGTGGCGGACTGGCCCATTGGGTCAGTGTTATGGCGGAGCACATTCACAATCCGCACTCAGCCACTGGCGTCAGTGTTCACCATCAACAACAATCCCCACCTCAACCACCTTACCCATGGAACAATGGCCTTTCCAGTGACGTGAGTACGCTCTTATTGCACCCACTCGACTTTTCGTATAATAAGAATCATGACGGAGAGCTGCTGGCAATTTTTAACTCAATTCACTTAATGTTACATTTTTTTCATCAAGTTTAATGAAGGATATCTATCATTGAGGAAGACGAAAAAAAAATCTATCAGTGTTCGATAAATAATCGAATAGAATGATCTTGGTAAAATAATAAATCCAATGTAAAAATGTGCAGCGAACAATGTAGGTCAAAATTATTAATTATAAGTACATAGTAAACTTTTTTATATTGGAAAATGTGCCGTAAAAATATCGTGATCATAAATATAATTAAATACTAATAAGGATGATTTCAATAGAGAAAAAGAAAAAGACCTTTCTAATTTTTTTTTAAGCATCAAACAAGCATCATAGAGTTTTGAATTAATTCTTTTGTAGCTTCTATGTTTCTCGCGGATTCGAATGCTGTAGTCGTGACAAAAAAATCGACGATACAAAAATTTGAAAAGAAACGGTTAGAGAGGACTAGAAGGAAATAAGGAAGAGAAGAAGGAACGTTGCCTGAATTAAATATGCCCGGAAGAGAGACATCGTTAAATGCGCAGCAACAACGGCACCAAAGCTTCGGAAATAGTAGAAAAAAAATCCCCGTCCGACATTCTCTCCCTTTTTTTTTCTTTTTTTAATGCGCGGTGTCAACGGGATGGAATACGCTATCCCTGTTTTGATTTTGTTTTTTTTTTCCTCCACCCTTTCGCGTGCTATCTCCGGATGAGAATCCTGCATAATTTAGACGAGACTGGATTAGAAGAGACCGTCAAGAGAGGACGAGACAATGAGTGCGAGAGAGTTGAAAAGGGGTGAAGTAGTAAAATCGAAATGGAAACGACGGGGGTGAGAGGCAGGATGGGGTACAAACGACTCGAAAAACGACGGCGAGAAAGAGCGCCAAAAAGGGTTGAAGATCGCTTTACATAGCGGTGTTCTTTCGTCGGGTTCCATCTCGAGATAAAAAAAAAGAAGAGGAAGAAAACAAATAGAACGGAAGCGCGAAAAAAAAACTTTCGGGAAAGAGAAAAAAGAGCGTGTATGCGCATTCGCGCGAGAGGAAATGAATAAGAGAGGAGAGCGAATAAAAAGTAGTTGCTCATTTGAATCGATAGTGGTGGTTTCGCGGCGTTTTTCTTGCGTTAATCAGCTAGCAGTTCATTTATGATGCGATTGAAGAGAGGATTAACGAAAGAAAATATTGGAATATGTATTTTCTAGAAAATGAAAAATTTTTTAAAACATTAATTTTTTTTTAAGCTTACGTGTAATCTGTCCAACGTTTTATTTTATTTTTTTCGCTTTGACTATTCTGGGATCATCACCTGCAATTATGTCATCCGCAGCATTTATTATAATTGCGTTGCGCTCCCATTACTCAAACGAGATCATAGAGAATCCTCGATCACAGAGGACTCGTTTGTTTTTCTAAGACGAGAAATTAGGGTGCGCCTTCTATCTTCGTACGGTGCGAAAAGGACCGGATTTAAATGTGAATAGAAGCGGCAGACATCTCGAGGACGCTCTTTATCGGTCGTGGAACCTGCAGCACGGCGGAA